CAACTCCTGGGCTCAAGCGAGTCTCCTGCCTCAGCCTCCCAAGTAGTTGGGACTACAGGCGCCTGCCACAACGCCTGGCTATTTTTTGGTTGCAGCCGTCATTGTTGTTTGGCAGGTCAGGGCTGGATTCAAACCCGCCAGCTCAGATTTATGTGGCTGGTGCCTTAGCCACTTGAGCCACAGGCGCCAAGCCAGCCAACTCACGTTTAACAAAGGCACGAAGAATATGGTGACAATGGGGAGAGGACAGTCTGTTCAATAAACAGTGCTGGGAAAACTGGACATCCACACAGACAAGAATGAAACCAGACCCCCTCTCTCGCCACGATCAGGAATCAAGCCAAATGGACTGAAGACTTACATGGAAGATCCCGACCTATGAAACTACCAAAAGAAAACCAAGGGAAATGCTTGAGGACATTGGTCCAGGAAGAGATTTTATGGATAAGACCTCAAAAATAGTAGTAACAGAAACTAAAATAGACAAGGGAGCCTATATCATACGGAAGAGCTTCTGCACAGCAGAGGACACAGTCAAGAGAAATTACCTGCTAACTATTCATCCAACGAGGGACCAACACTCAGAATAGTTAAGGAACTCAAGCAAATCAATAGTTAAAAAAAAAAGGCACCTGTGGCTCAGAGGAGTAGGGTGCCAGCCCCATATGCCAGAGGTGGCGGGTTCAAACCCAGCCCCGGCCAAAAAAAAAAAAAAAGTCCCCAAATAATCCAGTTTTCAAAATGGGCAAATTATTTGAACAGACATTTCTCAAAAGACATATAAACAGCTGACAGGTGTATGAAAAAATATCACTAATCATCAGGAAAATGTAAATAAAAATCCCAATGAGATACTATTTCACCCCAGTTAAAACGGCTACTGTTAAAAAGACAAAAAACAAACAAACCAATGCTGGTGAGGATGCAGAGAAAGGGGAAGCCTGCTACACTGGTGGGAATAGAAGTTAGGGCAGCCATTATGAAACACAGTATGGAAGTTGCACAGACAACTAAAAATAGAAATACCATGTGACTGAGCAACCCCACTACTGGATCTATATTCAAAAGAAAGGAAATCCGTAGATCCCATGTTTACTGTGACACTACTCACACCAGCCAAGATATGAAATCAAACCTAAGTGCCCATTAACAAGTGAATACGTAAAGAAAATGTGGGACAGACACAAATGGAATAATATACAGACTAAAAAAGAATGAACTCTTTCATCTGCAGCAACATGGCTGAGACAAGCCACATACATGAAGATAATACCACATGACCTCAGCTCCCAAAATTTGGTCTCATAGAAGTACAGAGCAGGACAGTGGTTCCCAGAAGCAGGGAAGGATGGGGGCAGGGGAGATGAAGAGATGTTGGTTATCAGGTATAAAATTATAGTCAGGAATGACTTGGCACCTGTAGCACAGGTGTTATGGTGTCAGCCATACACACCCAGGCTGGTGGGTTCAAACCCAGCCGGACCTGCTAAACAACGACAACTACAACCAAAAAACAGCTGGGCGTTGTGGCAGGCACGTGTAGTCCCAGCTGCTTAGGAGGCTGAAGCAAGAGAATCGCTTAAGCCCAAGAGTTTCAGGTTGCTGTGAGCTGTGATGCCACAGTACTCTACCCAGGGTAACAAAGTGAGACTGTCTCAAAAAAAAAAAAAAAATTATAGTCAGGAAGAATGAGTTCTAGTGTCTGACAGAACAGTTGTACAGACTACAGTTAACAGTAAGTTATTGTGCATTTCAGAATAGGAAAAGATTTGGAATGTTTTCAACACAAAGAAATGCTAAATGCCTGACAGATATATCAATCAACCTGACTTGACCATTACACATTGTACACATGTATCAAAACTACATGCACCCCCTAAACACGTACAGTTATGTGTCAATTAAAATAAAAAACAAAAGTGCCATCCTTCAAGGTGGGTCTGAATGTTGGGCAGAAAGTTAACTATAGCCATTTGGTGGGTAAGCATTCCCTAGAGCAATGGTCTCCAAACAATAAATATACCCAAGATGGGAATCCAAAAAAAAAAAAAAAAGAAAAGAAAAGAAGCTTTAACCGTACAGTATTCTCCTTAGATCATTCTTGAGAGGGTCACATGCTATGTCCGGTACTCCAGCATCCTGGGGAAAGCAGGCATTCCACGTGGCAGAGTGGTGGACAGGAGCCTGCGGACACGCTGCAGACCAGGTGCCCTCACTTAGAAACAAGGGTTGTACTATCCAATTGTGGTAAAATGATTCACAAAATGAATGACTTCAAGAGATTCCTGCAGAAAAATTCAGTACATGTAACACGTGTACCACAAACAGGAATATTGGAGAACAGACGCGATAGTGTGGGAAGCTCAAGCCAATCACATCAGGTGTCATGAGAATCTAATCAGATTGAAAGAAAAAGCAGTCCAAATAATTCAAAATTATAACAATTATTTCAACTATGTGTTTTCATCATTATCTTTAATGATAATTCTCACTTTTATGCAGATCTGTGCATTTTGTGCTATGTGGTATTGCAAACGTCATAATTTGCCAATATTTAAAAATATTTTTAATGAAGTTTTTAAATATTGGTGTATTTATGTATTTACAGAGACTCACTCTGTCACCCCAGGCTAGAGTGCAGTGGCATCATCACAGCTCATTGCTACCTCAAACTCCAGGGCTCAGGCAATCCTTCTGCCTCAGGCTCCCAAATAGCTGGGATACAGGTGCATGCCACAACACACAGCTACTTTTTCTATTTTTAGGAGACAGGGTCTCACTCTTGCATGGGTCTTGAAGTCCTAAGCTCAAGCAATCTTTCTGCCTCAGTCTCTCATAGTGCAAGGACTGCAAGCTTAAGCTACTACCCCTAGCCTATTTCTACATATTTATAACATTTCTCAGTACATAATTTATTAGTACATTATTTATTGCTACCATAGATATATAACTTAAAACACATGTAATTGTGGTTGGGAGCTTAGTATTTTTGGTTTGTTTGTTTTGTTTCCTTTTTGGAAACAGGATCTTATTTGATTGTCTAGACACAGGGCAATGGCATGACCACAAGCAACTTCAAACTCCCGGGCTCGAGCAGTCCTCCTGCCTCAGCCTCCCACCTCCCAGTAGCTGAGACTACAGGTGTGCCATGATGCCCAGCTAATTTTTCTATTTTTGTAGAGACACAGTCTTGCTATGGGGCTTAGGCTGGTTATGAACTAATGGTCAAGTCAAGTTGATTGGTAATGAAATGACTGCTAATCTCCCCAAGTCCAGTGATTATAGGCATGAGCCATCATGCCCACCCAAGAGCTTAACCCTTTTTTATTATTTATGTAATATGTAGGTGGCATAGTCAATAAAACTTGAAAACCACTAACCTAAAGAGTCAGCGTGGCCGTCCTGATGGCCTTTTCCCAGTCACCCTGCTCACTCTCTCCCAAGACCACCCAGGCTAAAGGTGAGCCCCTCTACACATTCGGCACAGCCCTCCAGCCCTGACTCTCCCCAGGCTGACCCTCCACAGAGTCCCTACCTGATTGTGCCATCGGATGACGTTTCCAAATCCTCCTGTCCCAAGTCGTTCTTTCATTTCCCACGGCCCACATGTCTGGGTTGGCAGGGAAGGTGACCAGCTCATACTGATGCCGTGCTAACTCTGCAAGCAATTTGGGGTGGAGGACAAAAGGTTAGGGTTCAAAAATTTAAAAGTACACTTTACAATAACTCCATGAGTGAAAGCCTAACACATAGAAATGTTAAATGCCCGAGGGGATGATACCCCAATTACCCTGATGTGATTAACTCACATTGTGGCCTGCATCAAAACATCACACGTACCCTATAAAGACACATAACTACTGTAGTGTAATAGTTAAAATTTTTAAAAATGCTGACACATGTGAAGCACTGCTGGGAACAGTTCCTAGCACATGGAAATCTGTAATATACAGTGGCCCTAAAACCATTATTTGAAAGAAAAAAGTTAAGGTTAAGCAACAATGGAACTCAAGGGGCTGAAGAAGCTAAGATGCGGTGCACTTGGATGGGAGAGAAGAAAAACCACCGGTTTTTATTTTGTAAATAAACCAGTTTACCCAAACTTTGTAGCAAACTTTGGTCTCCCCCCCCCCCACCTGCCTTGGCAGCCGGCAGGGCAGAAAGTCGCTGCAGGGCGTCTATGCCCACGCCCCCAGTCCAGGCAAGGGGGCCCCCAAGCCCCGGTGTTTTGCCCCAGGGAGAGAATCAGCTTCTGACCTTTACCCCACTCACGTGTCTTTACCACGTCCCCGGGAACCCCCCACCCCAGCCAGGGCTGTTCTGGGATTCCCAACTCCACCCCGCACCGGCGAACCGTTTCCATGCCCCGAACCCCTGCCCGGCAAAGGTCGGAGCCGATTCCCCGGCGCCTCCGGCGGGCAGGGGGCGGCGAGTCCTCCGGGCGGCGCGGGGTCTGCAGGTGGCACCTGGGCCTGCGCCGCCGCCGCGGGACTCACCTGTCGGCGGGGACGCGGGGCGGGAGTCGGGCTCCCCGGGGTGGGGGAAGCGGGGGCTGGGGCGGCAGGACGGGGGGCTGTGACACCCCCCTGACCACATTAAAATTGGGGGACCTCGAACCAGTCAGCCCCGCACGACTTCCTCAAACACTTCCTGCTCTGACGTCACGGCGCACGTGGCCGGCCGGCTCTTAAAGGGCCGGTGCGCGCCGGGCCGGGCGGTGGGAGCCGCGCCCGGAGCTGGGGCCTCCTGCGCAGGTGCCCGCCGGGCGGCAAAGTGCGTGGCTTCCAGACAGCCTGGAGGGACCTGGGCAGACTGTGCCCGCTGAGAGAAAAGGATGGCCCTAAAATGAGCCCTAGTATGCCCGTGTTCTCTTTAGACAAGCGACACCAACCTGCAGCAGTTTCTGGGACACGGGAGTTGGGGATTTCCTCATCCCCGCCCTTCTGAGGTAAACTTGACCTGGGCTTCCTAGGCTTTTAACCGCGTGGAATTTCCCGCGCCCTGCGCTAGGATTGATTTAGGGACTGTTTGGGACAACTGCCATTGCCTCCTGGCCTCCTGCAGGTGCTCCCCGGGTCCTGAGGCCCCTGAGCTCCGTGCCAAGAGTGATAAATCACAGCTGGACTCCCCAGAAGTGACAGCCCCCCACGCCCAAAAAGAAAAGGAAGAAAAGCCAGTGATGTAAAAACTAATCTGAAGTTTCAGCCCCAGTGATGTGGGGAAATTGTGAGACGGGCTCTAAGACCTGAGGCTAATCCTTCACCTCTTACCTACAGGCGGTATAATGCCCTTTATCCCTGAGTTTCTGGGTCTGCGGCGTTGTAATAGTAGACAAAGAAGCATGGTTGGTAAATATACTCGAGCAGGACAGAAATATTGAAGGAAGGGAGAAACCTGAAGATGACCGCGATAGCTGGCCTGTCTACAGTCTGAGCGCCAGGCACTGCCCTCCACTCTGTCCTTAAGTTTCCTTATTCAATTCTTGGGGCAACCCCATAAATTGAGCAATACTGGGTTATTTTTATCCCTGTTTCGCAAATGAGAAAACTAAAGCACAGAGAGGAAAATCCTTTGTCCTAAAATCACAGACCTATTAAGTAGATGAGCTGATACTCAAACCCTCGTAGCTGGTTCCAGGGCCCACATTCTTCATATGTGGTTAAAGTAGCGCGTTAAACTGGATTTTGAATGCAGAGACTGCTCCTGACTACTGAGGCAACGGGGCCAGTTACTCATCCACTCCAAACATCCAGTTCCTCTTTTTACAGTGTAGGCAACATTAGGTAAACTGCATGAAATTGTCATTTGCTAGAAAATTCTAACTGTCAGAATATCAGTGACAGAGACCTGCAGTCTCATCTGGTTCAACCTACTAGCAAGACGAGAGGTCACGTCAGTCACAGAAAGGAGGTGCCCCCCCCAGAGTTTTGGGAGGAGCAAGTGATGTTATGACGGGAACAGTGCATGACCCAGGACACTCCTGCCAGGAAAAAGCCAGGTGTTGAAGTTGACTCCTGGGAACATCTGTCTACCCAAACGCAGGAGTCCGTGGTATCCAGGGCTGGCCTAGGCACTCCAGCTGCTGTGTATTCATTTGATTACCCAATGGTTACAGCTTCCTCACAGCCAGGAGAGAAAGGAACATGGGTAAATAGTTATAAAGCACTTAGAACAGTGCCTGGCATAGTCTAGGTGCAATTTGATTCTTTGTTTAATAAATGAGAACACTTGGTGATTGGAGGGATCACTTCTATGGTTTATCTTACAAGGGTACAAGTGACTCTAAGAGTAGAAATGAGCTCAAAGCCCCATGCCCGCCCCTTTCACCTTCCCTCTCTCCCCAGGACCTTGGTGTCAGAGGTGGTGACCTGCCACAAAAGGTTGAAGCAAGTGGGATGTTCCTTGGTGGAACATATTATGTTATGTCTTAACATAATAACTAAGAAAATAACATAAAGGCTATGTTAACCAGTTTGATGAAAATATTTCTAATTGTATATGAAAACACCACATTGTACCCCATGATGCACTAATGTACACAGCTATTATTTAATTTAAAAAAATAAGAAAACTTATTAAGCACCTATATGTGCTGAGCACTGTGGAGAGTCATAGTGTTCCTGCGAGGCTTATTGATACATCCACTGATGTGCCAAAGACTTACCTTGTGCTGCTGTAATTTAAGAGTTCCCTTGTTTTGCTCAGCTCAAAATAACTTGGCTTTCAGCTGGACATAAATCTCTCTGATAAGGTCACGTACTACTAAGGTTTTGGGGGTAGTTTTTGTCTTGCTTTTTAAAATTAATGATGGCCCTGGAAGGGGCCTCTGGATTTTATCATGTTCCAAGATAGTTATTATCTTAAGATCTGTTTTCCCTTCAGATAAGACATGTCCAGCTCACTGCCTGCATCTGGTCTCCATCCTCTGGAGAAGCAAGCAGACTGTTTACAAAGCATATTTTCAGATATCACAGGAAAATGTTCTTTTTTTTTTCTTCCTGCTTTGAGGCTGGGTGTGCTATTAAGGCTCTGCACGGTTCAGACACTGCTGACCCCAGAGGTTCCAAACAATGAAGCTCATCAGAGGCACTTGGAATCCTATCGGGTTTGTAAGACCCACAAGAGACCCATCAAGTAAGGAGGCCCAAGGACCTGGCAGTACAAAATCGCACCTTAATTTGTTGTGCAGTAGAGAACTAGCAAGAAGGACAAAGCTTCCTCGTCTGGTTAATTTTAAATGCAATCTTGTTCCTAGAGTAAGTGGATGTACCACGCATCTATTAAACTCTGCCCTTGCCCAAAGCAGCCCAGCAAAGCAACACTGAACTGCTTTGAATGAGGAAAGAATTGTTTTCTGCCCAACCTCAGAGATGAATCATAGAAGGAGAAGACAGTTTGAAAGATAAGAAGGCAATAAAACAGACCACTCAGGGTGGGAGGATTTCTCCATTCCCCCGCCGGCCCGCCCCAGAGCGTCAGCTCAGGTTCAGGGATCTCGGCACATCTTTCATCCGCCTTCCAATTTTGTTTTCTCCCAGCTCTGCAGAGAAAGGAGCCTGCAGGTCAGGACTTGCTCCCTCAAAAGAAACAAAAGCTCCTCAGCCAGAAAAGTTGGAAAAACTAGTTTAGTTGGCGAGCATGAAGAAGTCTGCCTTTCTTCTGGGGAGTTGCTAGGAGAAGGGGGTAAGCTGGTGGAGACAGTGAGAATAAACCTTGGTTCAGACCTTTGAGTGCAACGTAGAGGTGGCTGCAGAAGGGGATGGAATGAGAGTATCTCTGCAAAGCAGCCTGGGCCAACAGTGGAGTGTCCAGGGGACCAGGGCCAGCCGGGCCTTCCCGCCTCCAACTTTGGCAGAAACGCTGAGGAGGCTGAGTCATTCTCTCTGGAGGAATGAGAGCCTGGGGGAGGAAGTCACTTTATAAGCTCTCTTTTCTTTTTCTTACATGAGTTTCATTCCAGTAAGTTCAAACTGAAGAGGAAGAAGCCTCTGAAGGGCAGCTGTCCACCCCGGGCCATGGTGCTGGGGAAGGCAGGGGTATTTCTCCGCTCACCAGGTTCTGAATCCTGCTTTTGCTACCTAGGAGCAAAGTTCTGTTCACCTCTGTGTCCACAGTGCCTGGTAATACCATAGATGCTCGATTAAAGCTTCCTTTACCGAGTGGATGAGGGAATTGGCCGGCACAAAGGCTACGCTAGTGCACTCTTTAGCATTTAGCAATACGTGTGGACTCTGGAGTCTGAGATACGTGGGTTCCAATCCTGGCTCTGCCTTTTGTGAACTCAGGCAGTTTACTGAAACTCACTGAGTCTCAGTTTTCTCTTCTGTGAAATGGGGGCAAATAAACCCCCCCTCCTCCTCACAGTTATATGGTGTGTGATAATACATATATGGTGGAGGGCCTGTTGCTAATTAAGTCCTCTTTGAATAGAATTTTATTTTTTTGAGACACAGTCTCAAGCTGTCGCCTTGGGTAGAGTGCCATGGCGTCATAGCTCACAACAACCTCCTTAAGCAATCCTCTTGCCTCAGTTTTTTGTTTTTTGTTTTTTCTATTTTTAGTAGAAATGAGGTCTCGCTTTTGCTCAGACTGGTCTTGAACTCGTGAGCTCAAGCTATCCACCTGCCTCAGCCTCCTAAAGTGCAAGGATTACAGGCATGAGCCACAGTGCCCAGCCTGAATAGGAATTTTCAATGCTGTTTTGTTTTTTTTAAATGCATTAACCCAAAAGTCTGCTGAGCTTCCTCCCTGTCCGTTGCAATTGAGGAGAAATGAGCTCAAAGCCCCATGCCCACCCCTTTCACCTTCCCTCTCTCCCCAGGACCTTGGTGTCAGAGGTGGTGACCTGCCACAAAAGGTTGAAGCAAGAGGGATGTTCCTTGGTGGCCTCTGACTCTGACCTCCTGCTTTTGCTAAATTCGCCTCCTCACCCCACCTGGTTACTTTGCCACTACACTCTGTTCTAATTCTGCTCACTAATCTGTCACTAGTTTGACGTAACATTTGGTCATTATTTCCTGCCTGCCTCACCCCCGATACTGGGAGAGCCCCGCCAGCCCGTTCTGTGCCCGGGTCAGAGCACCAGCTCATGCCAGCCACACACTAGGAGCTCTGTAAGGATCTGTCAGGGGATTTCATCTGTTTGCAGCTTGTTTTGCCTTCCTGGATTTGTCCATTCCTCTTGCCCAGACACAGGAATCTATCCATGATTCAATCCAGTGATCATTCTACAACTTGATGTTTGATAGTCTTCCCCAAAGACTTGGAGAGGTGGAAGGGTTTACATCACTGTCCCACAAACAGTTTAAAATTAAACATCAGGGCCAGGCACAGTGGCTGATGCCTATAATCCTAACACTCTGGAAAGCCGACACTGAAAGATTGCTCAAGGCCAGGAGTTCGAGACCAGCCCAAGCAAGAGCAGAAACCCCCATCTCTACCAAAAATAGAAAAATCAGCTGGGCATAGTGACATTTGTCTGTCGTCCCAGCCACTTGGTAGGCTGAGGCAGGAGGAACTCTTGAGCCCGGGAAAGGAGGCTGCATAAGCTATGATGACGCCACTGCCTTTGAGCCTAGACGACAGAGCAAGACTCTGTCTCAAAAAAAAAAAAAAAAAAAAATCAAACATCAGACAACTTCTCTTCCAAAGTCCCTGTCTCCATG